CCGATCTGGCTAATCTACATGCCTCCGTCGAAGGAGGCATGTAGTCTAGACACACCCTTACAGTGGTACAGCTGTACCACTGCAGCTGCAATGCTGTAAGGTCTCCTAATTAGCCACTCAATAGGAGCTCTCCTATTGTATAATTAAACCAGTCCTAATAAGTAGCATTGGTCATGTTGGTGGGAGATGCTACATAATACTGTGTACACTGGCACTTTGTCAGTGAAGCTTACATCAGTCATGTGGGGTTGGTTTTTTTTTTTCTTCACACTGTTGTCTAACACAAGTTTTGCCATAAAGAAAGCATAAGTCTAATTGACGGCCCCTACCTTTTGGGCTCACTCCTTCTCTGCACGATGCTCATTTAATCTTTTCTTTAAAAAAAAAAATTACTTGACTTTGCTTCCTGCTCTATTTGCTTCTCTAACTTTCAACCTTGGTATTCTGTGTGTTGAAATCACCCAGTGCTTCCATCTTTTCTGACACAGTAAGTATGGCTGGAAAAAACCGTATCCAGTATGTAATAGATTTTGTAGTGTGGATGAAATCTAGCTGGCTGAAGCTCAGCCCAGAAGGCTTTTGTACAGTAAGGAGAAAGAATGGTGGAGATTATTTCAGTGTCCTCACATCAACTTGCTCACCTCTTCTTGTACGAGCTTGCAACCTGAAATCCTATTTCATAGGGCTTTTAAAATTTGCGCTTGACAAGAAGGATGCAGCCTTTCTTTCATGACCTCACCATGATTATGAATGCCGTTCTCACATCCAAATTACTGCCATACACTCTACATGGGGGCAACACTCAAAAGCAATCTGAAAATTACAAATAGCGCAGAATGTAGTGGCATTATTATTAGTTAGGACTTCCTGTAGAGTTACATTACACCTGTGCGCTATGATTTGCAGTGGCTGTCAAACAGATTTCTAAGTGAAGTTATTGGCTTTCACCCTACAAAAACCATGAATTATTGAGCCCAGCCTACTTCAGAGACAGTCTCCCTTTATACAATACTGTGGTTATTACTATTAAATTCAAGTCCTTTTAATTAATAATAGTCATCACCTTAAGTTATATAATGAGGGGGCTGCTGGTTGGGCAATCTCCATGAGGGGTCTTGTGTAATTCATTTCTGCCCCACTTGTATGCCAGACCTTGGAATTAATGGCCTTCAGTGCAGGTTGCGTGACTTGCCTGTTCTCCCATATTTATCCTGGGTCAAGATGGGGATATTGAAGTGTGTTTGGGGATAGAGGAGAAGAAGAAAGCTTGTTGACCTGTCTTGTTTATCACAAATTAAGGGTATGTCTACACTACAGAGTTTTGTCAGAAAAAAGGCCGTTTTTTCAACAAAACCTGAGTTACGTCCACACTGCAATTGTATTCTTCCAAAAGTAAATTGAAAGAACAGAGGGGTTTTTCCAGTGTTGGTAATCCTCTTTCTATATGAGAGAAGCCTTTTTCTGGAAGAGCTCTTTTGGAAAAAGGCATGTGTGGACAGGGAAGAGGGAGTTCTTTCGAAAGAAGAGGAAAGCAGAAAAAGCACAGGTACCTTGGTGGCCACTCTGTCCATAGCAATCACAGCTTAAATGCGAGAGAGCATCCACACTGAATTGATGCTATCTTTTGAAAAAGCAGATTTCTTTTTTGATGCGCTTTTGTGTGTGGACGTTCTCTTTCGGAAGAATTTTTTCGGAAGATCTGTTCCAAAAAAGGGTTCTTTCGAAAGAAGCCTGCAGTCTAGACATAGCCTAAGAGACTGACTAGTACATTTTACAAATCTAAATTAATAAAACACTTAATTACACTTGGCTTATCTCTTGCCCAACATTTTTCTCTGGCTTTTTCTTACCTGCCCTTTCCAATTTTTTGTAAATGCTACTAAAGCAGGGATGGGCAAATACTGGTCCTTGGGCCAGACCCGGTCCACCATGGTTACCTCCTAACAGGCCTCCATATAGCCATATTTACCTGTGCCTCCATTGGCTCTGTTGGCTGTGGATTGTTGTTCCTGGCCAAAGGGAACTGTGATTGCCCGAGCCTGCACTTCTGCAGGTACAATATAACAGCAGCAGCCCACCAGCGGCTAGCCCTGCCACCAATTTATCACCCACATAAGTGCCAGAATCACCTTCTGCGACTCCATTCATGTATACTTCCCCCATATCCCTTCAGTAGGTTGCCCTTTTCTACATGAAATTCTTCTCACACAGGTTTCTGAAACCTGTCCAGTTTTCCCCTTCGTAACTCTCTATTCTCATGTCTCCTTGCTCTATCCCTACACATTTCTTGCTTTAGATGTAATTTCTCCGCTTAGCTTTACACCTTTTTTCCTGGTGTCTTCCCTGTCATCCTTGGAACAGCGTTGCGTTTTCTTTATGATGATCTATCATATGCAATGTGTCCATAGCCTGAGTGACCTGATGCTCAGCTTTTACTCTTGTAAGCTTTTCTGGGCAGAGTCTGTTTCTTATTTTGTGTTTTGTAAATGTGTTCTATACATTTACATCACTTTAAAATACATGTCTATGAAATAGCCTTTATCTAATACCATAAAACTGTATTTCTTTAATTAGGCAACATATACACAAATTGGAAAACCTAGTACAGATGAGTTCGTCAGATTTTGGTAAGTTTGACATATTTCCACTTATATTGGGTAGAAGATCTTTTTATTATGTGGGTGTAAAAGAATCTAGCACAACAGGCCCTTAATTCCTGAATGGGGCTTTTAGATGTTACCACAAGACAAACATTAATTATATGTATTAACATAAACCTGCAATGTCTTAATATCTCCAGCTGTATATATTTCTGACTTTACTGCTCTGATAGAATAAAGCTATTAGGAAGATAGATGTCTGCTGTTGCTAGCAGAAGTGTCATGACTGTGTTTAGTAACTGCCAAACTGTATGTTGATTGTATAGCATATGCATATGGTGTAATCTTGACTCCCTTGAAAGCAATAGGATTTTTGTCATGGATTTCAATAAGACCAGGATTTTACCCACAGTGCAGGGGTTATTGAACCATTAATTATTTGAATTTAAAATAGAATTAATTCAAGCTCACAATGACTATTTTAGTTATAAAGATAGCTTTTTTTTTTCATTTCCTCCCAACTTATATATAAACAAGTTGTTATATTTGCTTAGTTTAGACATTATTTATGAATTTCGTTTGTGCTTGCAGTAAAAATGATGATATGGGAGCACTGCAAAACTGTTAATTTGAATTAAATATTAAGGCATGAGAAGTAGTACGTTTCTGAAGGATTATTTGCAGCTTTAGGCTTATTGTGAGTTTGAAGGCCAAATTACTTCAACAGGTTGAGTACTGAAGTAGTTGCTCAGAAATACACTATCTACTCTATGGTATCCTGTTGCTACTTGTAAATCATTACAAATAAATAGCTGTGCTTTTTGCTTGAGAGAGCCAACCTGTTGGCTCATCAATTAATTTAGCATTTATGGCAATTTCATCATAGTTGTAGGTCTGAGCTTGTCATCTAGCTTCCTGTTATAAGCATCTAGATTCAAAGGTTAGTTGATTTGTCACAAAAATCTAGTTTTGATTGTGATTTTTACCTTTATGGTTTCAGCCTGCAAAGGATTTTATTTTAAATTCCAGTTTATCTTCTATATGTTGTTTATGCAACAAGTTATGTTTTTTAATGTAAGCATCTATTTGGTGATCTTTATTTTATCTTGTTCACTTTGTCAGATATCGAGCTACCTAAATACAATAAAGTAAAATGGTTAACAAAATAGTGCAAAAATATTCACTACAACAAATATAAGAGCCAGATTATTCTTCTATATGTGAAGCACCGTGTACTTCAGGGTATACTTAGTCTAAATTCTATGGCATTGTTGCTACTATTTCTCCTTCCAGTGAATCATTTGTACTTTCTGTAACATTATCTATTTTTGGAAAAGCCACAATCACTTCATACATCTTCTTATGCACTTTCTTCTTTTACGATCATTGGTATAGTAAAATGATTTCATTTATGTAAGAAATGCATGTGGGAGTGTTCTGTTGAAGTGACAAGGTTGACTAAAGATGTGGTCCAGGCCCTGAGATGCATGCAGTCCCTGAAGTCACACACCAAGACACATTTTTGTAAAGCCTTTGACTGTTCTTTGATCAAATATTATTATTATTATTATTATTATTATTTATTTTATTATAAATATTATTACAGGTTGAACCTTTCTAGTCTAGCATACTCTGGTCTGGCAACATCCATGGTCTGGCATGATTTTAGTTAGCTGGATGTCCACTTATCATGGGTGTGGCCAAGTTTTCCATGGTCCCATAAAGTTTGTTTACAGTTATCAGTCCTGGTTCTCAGTGTTGTGTGCTGTATTTAATCTCTAATTTATCCCTAAATGTCTTCTAAAGGCCTAATAAGCAGTGGAAGGGTTGGTAATGCTGCTAAATATTGACTTCCAGTGGTCTTTCAAATTGTCTGGTTCAGAACCGGTCAGGTCTTAAGGATGCTAGATTAATGAGGTTCAACTGGTACTAGACCTAATGTTAGAAAATGGAGCATCTAACAATTTACTCTACTGAAGATAACTGCAAAGCTGATGGATTAAATTTTCTGCCCCACTTGGCCAGAGTGCACATGCATTCTGAGTATTGGCAGGAGAAATTGGCCAAACTTGTTTTCATCATCCCAGAAATTTAGTTTGGGCCCAGGAGATGGGTTGTAATGGTATATCCAACCAAGCCATATTGTCCTCCGTTTCTCTCTGTAGCTTTGGAGAAATCTCTGAGATGTGACAAGTGTGTAAAGATCCTTTTTCTCCTTCAAATTTTTATGGTTGATATTTTAGGTCACTTTCAACATAATATTTTATAATGGGGGTACTCAACTCTTGAGTGCCTTTTAATTGATGGGTTTGGTACTGCAGTCTTTCTCATGCCATCACTTCTTGCAGGTTGCTAGTCAATTCAGGTAGATCTTCTGTAGTTCAGACCTCCAGCCTAGTCACAACATACAAATGAACTTCTTCTAATGAACTCCTCACTGGCATCTTCTGCCCCAACTCTTGGCCCATGAAATTCAGCCTTGTGTTCAGGCTCTCAAATAACTTCTGCCCCCTTCTTGAGGTTTATGGCACTATATCTGGTGGGGAAATTGAGGCCTACCCACTACTCTGCTTTCCAATGCAGGGGCATCATAAACAACAGCTGCACCCTACTTGATTTCAGTTCATTGTTCCTTCCTTCCTGGGCTGCCTCTTACCTGGCCCTTTTTAGTTTCATTCTTACATCAACACCCCTCTCTCTTTCTCTCTGAAAACCTAACTTAAGCAAACCCAGCCAAAACTAAACTCTAGCTATCCCTCATGCACCTTTGGCAAGAAAAGCACTCCCTTTCTCATTCCTCTGGTCCTAGCCAGTTGCTGCTGAAACCCTGCAGCTCTTTTCAGCTGAGTCTTCTGGGCTTTGATTGGCTGCTCTTTAGGTAGTCCTGTAGTATTCACTTTCATTGCTCCTTGTCATTTTGCTGCTTCCTAGGATGGGATGTAGTAGAATTTTGTGGCCTCCTGTAGGGAGCTGTAAAGGCCAAGTACAACCTGTCACACACTTGAGTTAGTGTCATGACATGTATAAATGTAAACCTTAAAACAAAATTTAATTGTCTCAGACAGGTAGCTATGTTAGTCTGTAACTGGAAAAAATTTAAAGAAAAATGAATAGTTCTGCAGCACGTTAGAGACTAATAAAAATGTAGGTGGTATCATGAGCTTTCATGGGCACAACCTACTTCTTCAGATGAATGGAGTAAGGGATCCAGGGTACAAATAAAGAACAGAGAGGGGGATTGGGAGGGGGAGGGGGGGGCGGAGGAAGAGAAGGAAAAAAATAGGAAAAAATATTGTCCATTAGAGTGTGCTAAATGAGGCTAATAGAGTGATCTATAATTACCCAGTGCTTTGCTTTTTATGTCATTAGGGTGTGGAATGTAGTCGCCCATCCAGGTCAGGTCTTTGTTCAAACTTTGATTACAGGTGTCAAACTTGTAATGGAACCGAGTTCTGCAGCTTTTCTCTCAGGCTGGTTTTTGAAATTGCTTTGTAATAGTATAGTCACTTTTAGAATCCTTTAATGAGTGCCTGGGCAAGTTGAAATGTTCCCCAGCAGGTTTCTGTGTGTTACCATTTTCAATATCTGATTCGTGTCCATTAATCCTTTGTCATAGAAGCTGTCTAGTTTGGCTAATATACATGGCAGAGGGGCAGTCTCTGCTCTACTGCCAAAACCATATCCCTTCCTTCCCATTCCATACAGCTGAAATGCAGCTTCTTAAAATGCTTTTGGGCTTCAGTGCTCATATAGTCTTCCCTAATGCAGCTATTTTCTTAACTCAGGGCTACTCAGCTTTGGAAGCCACAATGATACTCACAGAACATGCCAAGGGCCGCAACTTAAGTGTGGTCGCATATACATGCAAATATATGTAATTAGCCTCTTTCACACTGGTGGCAGGCATGCTACAAAGCACTTCCCACAATCCCCAGGGCTCCCGACACCTCTTCCCTGGAGGCTAGAAATGCCAACACCCTGTACCCGTCTGTTCCAGCCAGCCCGTCCGCTTGCATCTTTCAATGCTCACCCTGCTTGGGAGACTCATCACTATGCTCAAAGGATCCCACCTGCGTGCTGAGCCCTGTGTAAATCCAGACTGCATCACAAGCTGCAAACAAACGGGTCACGGGCCACATGCGGCCCATAGTCCTCATATTGAGTAGCCCTGGTCTAGGAATTTGTCTGATGACCATGTTTTTTTCATTCTCTATGCTCTCCTTATTACAACTAACCCATAAGAATGCTTGTTTATATCTTCATAGATTCTAAAGTTGTGCTTTTTTGCCTTTTAATTTACAAGTCAAGGGGAAAAAATGAAGATCATATGAATGAGTTCCGCTGTTCTGAATTATGTATAACATTTCCTCTTTCTTCTGCCTTTATTTTTACCACGTTTTGTGATAGTTTGTATGGAGAATACTTAGCAGGGAAAAATTGTTAACACAATGTTTTGCTTGCAATTGAATGACACTGTTCAAACAGAATTGTTCTTGATACTTATTGTAAAATATTTTTGACCGCTACAGTGTGTCATTCAGAAGAAATCTTCATAATAGTAAAGAAGTGATTTTCCCTTACCCTGATAATTTTCTGTTTTTATTTTCAGGTCAGGCAGCAAACCTACACTCGGAAGCAGGCAACATTAGACAACAGTGTATTGTATTTCTGCATTATGTGAAGGTGTTCATTTTCAGGTGAGATGACACATGCAGTTTCAGTTACTAGCTAACTTATTGTGAGTATTTAGTTTTGCATAACCATCTTTTATGCATCCTCTAATTATATCTTGTGTTGTTCATTCAGATACTTGGAATCTCACAAAACAGAGGATGATGGGTTACTCCATCCATATGAAGAACTAGAAATCCAGCTCCCTTCGGTCCTGGTTGAGGAGCTTCATTCCTTGACCTTACAGATTGGACATCTGTATGAACTCCCAAGTGGTATCTTAGGAGCATTTACCATTCAACATCAGGCCAAGGTTTGAGAGATCTTTTTAATACATAATGTAAAAATCCAGATTTAACTCTTACAAATTATGATGAATAACAATTAGTTTTATTTTAGAAATGGGTATGAATGTCATAGAATCATAGGAGTGGAAGGGACCGCAAGAGTTCTTCTAGTCTCACCCTCTGTACTCATGGCAGGACTATTTTTTTCTAGAGTATCCCTGTCAGGTGTCTGTCTCACCTATATATAAAAATCTGCAGTGGTGGTGATTCCATCACCTTCTTAGGCTGGTTTTTTTTCTGTACTGGATTAGCATTATGGTTCTCCTAGCCCAGCTATCATGGTGATGGAGTAGGGGTGAAGCATTGCCTCCTGCCAAAAATATCCTGTACCTAGTGTTGTCCCTGTGGCAGAGCCATATCTCCCTCCCCCTGGTGTGACAGCAGTCTTTTGTAGCTGAACAGCTTCCTCAGCATTGAATGTCTCTACATGAATACTCTCTCAAGGAATTTCTCCTGGCTTGGATATTCCTCAGCAGAGCCACCTCCTCCCATAGCTTTCCCACGTGCTTCCTGAGAGATTCTAGGAGCCAGTCCCCTTTCACATTGGATGGTTCCCCCAGCCTGGTGCTCTGTGAGTGGGAACAGCAGGCCACAGTCTGAAAATTGACACCAGGATCTGGATAGAGGCATCCATGGTTAGGTTTTCTGGAGAAGACATGTGCAGCATTGGCACTGGTGATTCAGCCCTTCCTAACCATAGTGATTATATTAAGTCTTCCTCTTGGACTTTCCTGTTGGCAGTCCCCATTTTACGAGCTCCCCTTGATTGCTTAGCTGCTGGTTTTTAAGGCCTTCTGTCCCCCTCATTAATCATAAGAACATAAGAATGGCCGTACTGGGTCAGACCAAAGGTCCATCTAGCCCAGTAGCCTGTCTGCCAACAGTGGCCAGCGCCAGGTTCCCCGGAGGGGGTGGACCGAAGACAGTGATCAATCGATTTATCTCGTGCTATCCATCTCCAGCCTCTGGCAGACAGAGGCCAGGGACACCATTTCTGTCCCCTGGCTAATAGCACAGCAGGAGGGTGATCAGAAGGCTGATTCACATTGATCAAAGATTGAGGATGATCCAAGGAACATAAGCTCAAACCTCCCCAGTCACACAATCCCAACTGACCCTGTAACTTAAATAAGCTGAAAGAGGGTATGTCTAGATTACCCTCCTAGTTCGAACTAGGAGGGTAATCTAGACATACCCTCTTTCAGCTTATTTAAGTTACAGGGTCAGTTGGGATTGTGTGACTGGGGAGGTTTGAGCTTATGTTCCTTGGATCATCCTCAATCTTTGATCAATGTGAATCAGCCTTCTGATCACCCTCCTGCTGTGCTATTAGCCAGGGGACAGAAATGGTGTCCCTGGCCTCTGTCTGCCAGAGGCTGGAGATGGATAGCACGAGATAAATCGATTGATCACTGTCTTCGGTCCACCCCCTCCGGGGAACCTGGCGCTTGGCGGCTCCCCGCTTATGCAAATGAAGCCCGGGGAATTCAAATCCCGGGCTTCATTTGCAAGTGCGGTATGCCTACATTGCCCCGCTAGTTCGAACTAGCGGGGTAGTGTAGACATACCTAGATAGCCATCTCTGGCTGTGTCTACACGCGCGATCTTGCGGCTGCTCTTGTGCAAAAACTTGCTGTCTGTCTACACTGGCCACGTGTTCTTGCGCAAGTAAACTGACGTTCTAATGTATAAAATCAGGGTTTCTTGCACGAGAACGCTGATGCTCCCGCTCAGGAATAAGCCCTCTTATGCAAGAGCTCTTCCAGAAGAGGCCAGTGTAGACAGGCAACATTAATTTCTTGTGCAAGAAAGCCCTATGGTTAAAATGGCCATCAGAGCTTTCTTGCGCAAGAGAGCGTCTATGCTGGCATGGATGCTCTTGCGCAAAAGAACATCTCTTGTGCAAAAGCACATGCCAGTGTAGACACTCTCTTCTGGAAGAATTTTTGCAGAAGAACTCTTCCGCAAAAGAGTTTTTGCATGAGAATGCGCCAGTGTAGACGTAGCCAAACAGATAAACAAACTCAGCTCACCCAAAGATTAGTACTCTCACCTTGCTTGTGCAGCGGGAGGATCTCCATCTTCCCCATCATGGTCCCTTGTTTGCAGTCGCTTGTTCTTATGCACTTATTAGTTAAGTAACAGCCCATATTGCTCAAACACAGATAATTATGTTTTGACTTTGGTCATATTAGACCTTGTATTTTCTTTGTACAATATTTATGCCTGTTGGAATCCTTATTTGATACTGTGCAAATAAAATCTAAGACAGGTTGAACCTCTAAAATCTGGGACTCTCTGGTCCCGAGATATCCATGGTGTTTATCCACGGTGGCAGTGAAAATTCTTGAGTTGCCAACTAGAAGAGGTACAAATTCTAAGAAGAACATCTTTGTGAAGGAGAAAACTGCAATAACATAATCTCTTTCTGAAACACTTAGCAGACTAACATGTTATACTGTTGTTAGATGTGTCCAGTTGTGATAAGAGAATATTTGTATTTTCTGTTGTTTAAAAGGGATTCTATGCTGGCAGCACTATTCAAATCATTATGAGGAAAGAAAATACTTATGATAAGGAATTGTATTTAGATTCCTGCCATTCAGTTTGTTTGGGACAAGGATTGATAGAGTTGATGTTCTTTTTTTCTAATGATGGGTTCATTACACTTTGAATAACTCTGAGATTTCAGAGGTTAAAGTGGTTTAGTACTCTTGCCTCCAAATGAAAAAGCTAATCATAGTTATGGTCCATTACCAATTCTTGCTCTTTAATGTGTGTGTTAGAAGGGGACACGTAGAGTTGGTGGTGCTTCATCTGTTCAGTTGGAACTAAGATGTTCTGAGTTTAGATTAATGATTTTATGAACCTGCTCTAAATAGAAGAGTAATTGTTAAATAATTGAATCATTTAATTTGATATTTGATATCTGTGCGAATCCACATGGACATAGGAGTCTGCCTGTCCGCATAGTGCTTAGGATATGATCCAGGCCTTGCTTACGAAATATGAAATTAGGAAAAAAAATTCTCTCTTCTCACAGCTGTTTCCTCCATCATGGCACTTGCTGCATCTCCACTTGGATATCCATTGGCTAGTGCTGGAAATTCTTCATATCCTAGGCGAGAAGATGCTGCGTAAGTCCATCTGTTTATGGTGCATGTTTTTGCTCTGCATTTTTTTTTTTAGTCATTTAGTTTTTCCCTCCTTCCCAACCTGTTCCCCTCTCCCTCCGTTATATAAGATTCTAATCTGAAGCTGTTCAAATTATTTTACTTTCTTTGGGTGTAAGTTTCTGCATTTACTTTTTGGTCACTGTTAGAGATATTGACTACAATCAAAAGCAGTGAGGGCAGGTTATGTCCAAGTTTTCCGACATACTTCAGCTAGTGCATCTCAATTTGGATGTACAGTATGCTTACTAATCCAGTCTTCATCCTGTCCTAATGAAGGTTGACAAATCAAATTGAATCGTGGATTTGTGGTACTGGGATTAGACTGAGCCATCAAAGTATTTTCTCTTGAAACGTCAAATGACTGAGTCACTTGCAAAAATTAAACACGGCTAGAAGGGCTGACAGCCTCTGAGGCCCCTGAGCAAGATGTGTGTGGTAGGCCTCTTTCTTCCACCCTGCCCTATGCTCCTGGAAGGGGCAGGGCCAGGGTAGGCAGCACTGATCACTGCCTGGAGTTCCCCACACCACCCCCAGGTTTTGATTTAAAGGGGCTTGGGGCTCTGGCCTCTACTGCAGTAGCAGCTGCAGAGGCTGGAAGCCTTGAGCCCCTTTGAATCTCTGGTCCCGGGGCAACTGTTCACTTTACTTCTCCCTTCCCCCATTGGCTGGCTGAATAAGTGGAAAGGGTATCTAAACATGACTGGTACAGATTTGAAGAGAATAGTGAAGACCACTGAGAAATTCGGTTTTGTTATTTGAGGGCACGATTTTAAAAGAGGAAACTTCCTTACCAGTTCTAAGCAGCATGTCTGTACTTCACGGATTAGGATTCTTGAGGAGATTTTGTGATTGATTTTTAAAAAAATAATCCACATTTTTATCCACAGACGGCTATTGAGGCACTATTGGAGACGAGAGAGAGACTTTGGCCAAAGAAGTGTATGAAAATATAGTGAGAAAAGGGCAAAGCAATATGTGTGGGGTTTATTTTTTTAGTGGTTTTAAAGGGCAAGGAGCAGACTGAAACTATTAAGCTGTTTATGGTAGCAACTAAACTAAAAACTAAAAGGTCATGGAATGCAGTTGAAGAAACCAGCTTCAAAGCAATTCAGCTTGCTAGAGAAAAATGGTTGAAATACAAAAAGGGGCAATAAGTTACAAAGTGAGGATTATTTATGTATTGTTCATTTGTATGTCAGCAAAGTCAAGCACAAAAAATAACTCTAGAATACTATTTCTATCCCCTTTCTCTAACTGTTGTCACATTGCATTGAAATTCACATTCATATAGAGCTTCTAAATAATGGTCTAAGGCTGGTACATATGTTTACAACAACATTGCAACAGTTACAGGAATGTAGACATTCAGGTATTTGAGAACCAGCTCTTGTTTTAGTAATTCAGCTCCTGCCTTTGTGGGGGGTGGTGTGAAAGAGGCCATAAGACTTCTTGTTAAGTTTCTGCTCATAATGAAGTGTTATGGAAAATCACATACATGATTTGTCTATACCGGAATATTTAACATGTACCAATTGGAGTAATAATACTTGACATTCATATAGCACTATACATGTAAGAAGGCTATAAAGAAACATGAAAGGGCAGATTCTGCGACCTTAATTCATGTTGAGAATCCCATTTATCTTTCAGCAGAACTTAACCTGACCTCAGTGAAACACTAATAGAATAAGGTGTTGATCAACTTGAGAAAAGGTGTCAGAATTTGGCCCATAGCAAATATATTACCTGGTTGTTCAAAATGTATTGGGGTAAATGTATTCAGCAAAAACAGTTATTATAAAATGTATGTTCACTTGAATTCAGTAAGCTTAACTTTGATACAAGCTGCCCTCAGGCAATGAATTTCTAAACTTTTATATAATTGGCTTTTTTTTAAATGATGTACAAAAAACTTTAGACACTTCATTGCTCAGTTACTTGAGACCCAATGCAGCTGCTATTAAATTAATAACAATGCCTCATTGTGTCACTGAGAGCAGTACGTGTGCTTGGTCACTTATCACCCAGGGGAGCTGACAGACTTGCTGGGCCTCTGGGCAAGGTATTTGTGGGGATCCTCTCTGTGCTCCCAGAAACGGTGAGGTTGGGTGCTGGCAGCCCTCAGTGCCGCTCCTGCCCCCCATCCCACTGCCATGTAGCCCTGAGAGCCGCCCGGAGTGTGGTGCTCCAGTGGTGATTTTGAGGTCCCAGGGCTCCTGCCACTGATGCGGTAAAGCCTCCCCTCTCCTCCCGCCTTGCCCTAGTTGGCAGGCCTTGTATTGCTAGTCCTCTAAAGTATTCCTGTCTTTGATTTTGTTCAGCAATTCAGTTATGGATGTGGTATCCAAAAAAAGTACATCTTGTGTATATGGGGCTCTGCAGTTTTATAATGAAGATAGAGAGACATGTGTGAAGGGGGAGAGTTAAGTATTTTATCTTTTGAGAACTCTTTCCAAACTCTGGCAGAGAGTTATATTACTTTTTTAAAATAAACACCAGCTGTATGCAAGTCATAGAGGGCAAGGTCCTTTCCTCACAGAGCTTGTAATTTAAACAGAGAGAATGCATATAAGCAGAGAGAGAGAGAGAGATGGGAGGTAATGAAAAGCAGTGTGATAATCATTCATCAGGGTTTCAACATAATTTTATTTTTTAAAAAAATAAGTGGATTTGTTGTTGGGGGAAATTTGAATTTTGAGTTCCTTGAAACAGAATGTTACTATTAATTTTTTTCCCTGAGAAAGCAATTTGAAAAGCCATTTTATTCTTGAGAGCTGTTAATTCTTTATCAGATTGTGTGTGGGAACCCAGTATACCTTCTGCATATTGGTGGGCATGTGCTTTAGCATTAAAATTCAGTCAGCCAGACTGTAGTCTATGCATACATTTTACTGGTCCTTGTATCCTCTGTGCCCTGTGGTACTCCTAGGCTCTTGTCCCTTTCCCTCCCTCCCCCAAAGTAATCCAGGTAAAACTCTGATCCCATAAAAATTAGCAGGAATTTTGTCATTAGTTTCAAATCTTCGACAATAAAATATTGATCCAGTTCTGCAAAATTTTTGTTCCATTGATGTCAGCGGGAGCCCTGCATCTGGAGGCTTTGTAAGCTAAGGCCTTATGAACTGTCCAAGGTACCTAGTACTGATATCTAGTACTCCTTCCTTAGTTATCTGTATGACTGTCTCTGTATATTAAGGAACTATGATCTTTTGATGTGTTTTAGGACAAATTGTGTATGCTCACCAGTTCATGAACTTAACAGGAGAAAATTTAACCAATATCAGTTTATTTGAAGCACACTGTGAGAACCTCTTCTGCGATCTGATAAGTTTGTCAATCAACAAATATACAAAGGTATCTTTTTTTTTTTTTTTGTATGCAGAAAGCATTTGAAAGCCCCAATCATAATCAAAGCTGTTTTGTGTTAGGTGCTATACCGATGCTTAGGAAAACATAGTCCCTTGTTATTGCCGTTTTACAATTTTACCATTGGTTTAATATACCCAATTTTTTTCAGTGTTTTATTTGTTGGAAACTCATATTGTGTTGTAATTATTTATGAGCATCTGGCAACTGATGGGAGGGTAATTTTGAAATGCACCGTGTACAGAGCTGAAGTATATGCCACATTTTATAAGTTCACTATGCTGCTTTCATGCCAAACGGGGCTGTAGATGCAGACAACATTTTTCCAAACTCTCTCAAAAGGAACAAAAATAGTGACTAAAATCTTGGCAGTAAGTTAACTGGGCACTGATGTGCATTTCCATGTTACAGTTTATTTACACCACACCTATTTCAGCAACCTCTTCTTTTTGTAACAGATCCTGTACATTTGCCAAGGAAAACTTTAGGTAGACTGATAAGTGTTAGCTGAATTCAAGCTAGCATGCTAAAAATAGAAGGATAGTCAAGGTAACATGAGCAGCGGGTTGCACTTACAACCCAAGTACAAACCAGCCTGGACCTCTTGTGTGTGCCTGAATTCCCACCCATGCTACCCTGGCTACGCTGCTATTTTTACCACATTAATTGAGCAGAGCTAGTACTTTTTTGTGTACCAGAGCAGCATGTGCCAGCTGCAGTGTAGATGTGCTCTTTGTGTAACTTTTTTTTTTCTTCCAATTACATTGGTGCACTGACTTCTTTTTCACAGGCTCCTGTCACCAGAAATTATAACCTAGGAAGTCTAATTGGCTTATATGCCAGCCAGTAGTTATATCTTACATTCTTCTTTGACATGTTGTCACTGTGGATCTCTCTCTAGATTCACATGTCTCATGCGTGCAAAATCTGAGTCTTTTGAATAGCATTGTTCCAGTTAGGCCATGCCTGAACCCTGTGCTTCCCTTGTACTCCTACATGAGAGGATAAAGGGTGGTGTGAAGGAACACACCCTCACTCTGGTATGAAGGAAGCTACCAAACTCATCCAGGCCTGTTCCAAGCTAGTGAGACAAATCCTCAAGGCTTACTCAGCCTGAAGTAAGATGAGCACGAAAGAAGGGAAGACTCCCCACAAGAAAGGGAGGTGAATAAGAAGATGGTTGCTTTGCCAAGGGACTGCTGGAGGTAGAATGACCTCACTCTTGAGGAGGAGACCACTGCTCCCGAAACCACCCTGGCAAGTGGTAGAAGAACATGCCCCAACAAGAGGAATTAAAGGTAAGCCTTGAAAAGGGCCAATAGAGTCTTGTTAGATTGAGTCCTTACTACTGATTCTCTAGTGGCTGCCTAAGAGACTGGTACTTTTTCCAGCTGGATCTTGCTTATCTTGTAAAAGGGAAGGAGAACCAAGAGCCAAACCTCAGCCTGTAGGCAGAAGCCCCCAGAGAAATATCTTGCCCCTTCCTCCTCCCCCCCCCCCCAAGACTGCCAATTGGGAGGGAAGAGGGGGTAAATGAAGAGAGGAGTAAGTTTTGTACCCAAAGAGGTCTAGTTTCTTAGTTATTCTCTTTCGAAGTACCCTCTGTAGATATTGATTTTTTTTTTTCCTGCATCCGGAAATATAAATGATCTTGGGCAAAGAACTATTCAAATCCCTTTTGAGGCACCTGATACCTCTTTTCATTTCCTTAAGATGAGGAAGGAAGAGTTGTCACGGTCCACCAGTATCCTCTTTGCAGTCTCTAGTGTGCCCTTGTTGATAAGGAGGGCAACCCCGGCGAAGATTAAAGAGGATGCACACAGCTGGGTTCCATTTTCTTTCTAAAGACAGCAAGAGTTCACAGCCTTCCCACCAATGCGGGGTTCCCTGGATACGTTCCCTGCCCCACCTTCCCAGTCCCACTGTCAGCTCACTACAGTTGTACATCATGAATATTAGGCCCTGTTCACAAAATATAATTTTCTCACTTGGGAGACAGTGGCCCTTTCCTGCCAAAGCTTCCACTAGATAATAGGGAGGCTCTCGGAGAGATCATGAAGGAGGACCAAGTCATCACAAAGACTGCCTGACCAGCAACCATGGATGCACTGGTTGTAACTTATGCCTGTCAGATCTATGTCCATAGCTGTATCCATAGGAGTGGCTCTACATGTCCAGCCTCCTGAAAGAGTGGTGATGCACACTAGAGAACCTACCCATTGAAGGGATGGAGGTCTTTAGCTGTGAAACAGATGAAATGCTCCACTCCTTGTAAGCTACTAGGACCATGCTATAATCGCTAGGGATCCACAACCCAGATCCCTATTGTAAATCATACAAACTTCTGCCTCAATAGACCATTTTCGCTGTATTGAGAGAGACTCAACAGCTGGAGTATCCTTGATTAAGCAGGCTTCATAACTCCAGGAGGCTTTTGGGGGGTTCAGTTCATTTATTGATAACTTGGCTCTCAGTCAGTTTTTAATTCTGTGTTCCTGGCACAACCAAGACCTGACCTTGCTTTAGGAAATTAAGATAAGAGGAAGCTGCATATCAAATTTGGTGGTTCTAGATCTTGCTATTTAGGAGGAGTTCTTGAACAAAGGGATTCACAGATGGATGGACTCATGAACAGACAGATGCATGAACTCTCTAATATGTATCTAGACCATGAGCTTAATTTTACTCAAATTTATATTCTTCTTATTTACTACAGATAGAAAATTCCAGACTTTACGCATCACCTCTTACCAAATTTTGTGTATAACATTTCAGATGTTAGTAGACAGACTGGCATTGGAAGCAACTAAACAAATACATACCCTGCCTGAGATGCAGAATGGCAATGTCTACTTCCATTATTCCACCTCTGAAGGCTCAAGTTTGGTTCATGACTTACAGGACAGGTATTTCCACAGTGCCATCCGACTAGCCACTCGAAGCCCAACCATTAACCAGTGCAAAGTATTGTCATTTGAACTCTCCACAGTGCTGAGAGTCTTTACAAAGTACTTAGCAATGTGACAACAAAAGTAAGGAGGAAAAATATGAATCTCTGCCCATATCTGGATGACTGGTTGTTAAGTGGTGGATCCTAACAAGATAGACCAAGAAAAAAAGAAATTTTGGATATCTCCAGAGCCTTATTGGTTGTAGCCAGTAGGTTGTATTCAACAGTGATGGACTTCAAAGATAAGGCTGTTTCATCATAGAAAATATCCAAAGGGATTAAACAATATAGCTCAACACATTATCAGATAGCTCTTGTACCTCTTCCTTGTGTCAACATCAGACAAAGCATCAATGTGGAGCAAACTATTTAGCAGCAGGTCTGATAACAAATTTGAGAGTGCAGTTCTACAATCGCTATCTGATCTATACAGCTGAAACTCCTCATTCCCACTAGAAAGGAAATTGCTTGCCAGTCACCTACAGAGCGATCCACTATGGTATGTAGTTGAAGAATAATGGCTATTTACTGTGCATAAATGTGGTTCTTTCAGTTTGGATCCCCAAACCTGCCATAAATGTAGACTTTGAATTGCTAGCATATTAAGGGAAAGTCACAGCTGCTCTGCCTTTTATGCTTCCGCGGGAAGGCATGAGGCAGTACTACCCCAAAAGACCCATTGTTCAAAACTCCAATCTGGTGCATAGGAAGTGCATGTGATAACATCTCTGAGAATCACCGATATTCTAGGGTAAGTATCTGTTGTTTTGATAGAGAGCAAACAACTGTGACACAATAGAAAGCACCACAACATCTCAACTTAACATAAATCTTGTACATCATTCCAAATTATGTGAAATAAGTGATACTTAGTAACTATGTGTGGCTGCAATTCCACCTAGTGATAATTTAGATCACGTGGATGATTAAGAAGAAAAGCCTGTCGTCATATCAAATATTATATTTTGTTCATAATTGAAGTTATTACTTGCTAGATGTGTACTACATTCTTCTAATTGTTACATATTTCACACATACTAGCTTTTACAACTTTCCTGTTAGAGGAAAATTGTGGTGATCATGATTACGTTGTGTGAATTAACCTTAAATATACTTAATCAAGGTTCCAAATTTAGAAAGATACAAAGAGTAGTGTGAATGCAGCTTCCATGCTGATGGGACAGTAAAGCATGGAGGTATCAAGAAAAAGAACCAACCAGAGAATATATAAGATAAAGTGTGCGTGAAAGGGGGCTGTTTTGTTTCTCAACTTCTTATATTCTCCTGTTTACTTTTCCTACTCCATTCCCCTTTCTGTCCCTGGTTTAGATAAGAAAAACTGACTCATACTAGTTTACCAGGGCCTAAGCCTCTATTTCTGATACCTGTAAATTTGGTCAATTAATGTACAGAACCCTGACATACAGAATAAGCAAAGTTATGCTTAAATGCTATCGGTAGTCTAAGCCAGAGTTCCCTAAATTGTAGGGTGTCCCCTCCTACATCCTCACATGAACAAAAACTATCCTCCCATGGACAAAGGCTATTCTGTGAGTATTTTACATAATCATTAAAGGATTTGTCATATTAAAAATAATAAATATGAAATCATTGGAAGCTTTTTCTTCTCTTCCCAGGAACATCCTATGAATCTAATCAATCATTCTTCCTCACTAGTAGACCATGAATTGGTATTTACTACTATTTCTTTTCTTTAGTTTTTAGAAAATCCCTTTCGCTTATTACATATTTGTTGAAAAATCATTTGAAACTTGTTCAGTAAAAGCATTAAAGTAATGTTACCTGCACTGTATGTTGTTAGAAAATGGTTCCTTTGCTCTGTGCATGATTTTTTAAAATACGTTAATGGAATTGTACATTGTGCTTCACAGGAATCCTCTATAATTGTGTATAAATTCCAAGTTCAAACAAATAGAGCCAGAATATTAATATTGTATGTAAAATGCAACTTCAAAAACCCCACTGCTCTGTGAGTGACTGGACTTCATATTTTCTTCACCAGGTTAGACCATCAGAGGCTCTAACCAGTCACCACTACCCTTGCAACTGCATTAAGGAATTATGGGTTCTGCTTATTCAGCTGCTGGACCACAGAAGTAAAGGTTCTCATACAGAGGTAAGTGGGAACATTGCTGCCCACATAGGATAAGAACATAGAAAGTGTTTGTTTATATCCAAAACATTCAACATCCAATACTGATTGGTCAGTTACCAAATTTAGCGTTAGTTCACATCCAGCATGATGCAAAGTTGCACTGACCCATCAGGAAATTTAGGAGAGAGTATTTTCCCTGACATACCAGAGAAAATGCCAGCTACCCCACCGTAGCCGCCACTCCTTGAGAGTGACCCAGGGTATTGAGGAGGGAGCAGTTCCAGTTTTTAGGAAAGTGAGGCAATTGAGGCTGTACTGTGCATTGTGGCAGAAAGGGGATCGAAGAGAAGAGACGTAGCCCTTGCATAACTGACCTCCCTGACACTTAAACGCATCATTGGGAAGCTTTGCAAGGCCCAGCTGCAGTCAGTCCTTAACTAATTATTAGAAGACACTTCAGAAAGTCTTCTTTGAAAGCTGCCAATCTTTATAAAATTTCTTCTTTCAAGGGGGTTTGTGTGTTGCAGTAAGATATAACCAAACAGTTTCATGGTAGTGTATTCAGACTTTTTAATATGAGCAGCTATAAAGTCTCTTGGTGAAAATTTTATTATTGTTAATTACTTATACTACAGTAGCTCAGTGTTAGGTGTTATACAAATGCTGAGCATAACACAGTCTATGCCCTGAAGATCTTATAATGTAATTGGACAAGACAGACAAAAGGCAGTTGAATAGAGGAATGTTATTCCCAATTTTCAAAATGGCACAGATGTGCATGAATTGGATAAAATAATGGAGAGTATGTTTAACATTTGCAGGTGACACTGAGCTGGCAGGGTTTGCAAGCACTTTGGAGGACAGAATTAGAATTCAAAAGACCTTGACAAATTGGAGAATTCTTATGAGTTCAGCAAGCTGATATTTAGTAAAGACAAGAGCAAAGTACTTCTCTTGGAAATAAAAAATAAAATGCACAACTACAAAATGGAGAATAATTGGCTAGGTTGTAATACAGCTGAAAAGGCTGTATAGGTTACAGTTGATCACAAATTGAATATGGCTTGTCAATTTGTTGCAGTTGCGTAAAAAGCCAGTAACATTCTGGAGTATATTATAAAGAAGTGTCGTATGTAAGGCAAGGGAGATAACTGTCCTACTTTACTCAACATTGGTGAGGTCTCAGTAGGAGAGCTGTGCCCATTTGTGGGTGCCACACTTTAGAAACGATATGTACAAATTGGGGAGTCTTGAGAGGAGAACAATGAATATGATAAATGGTTTGGAATGGTTAAAAAGTACCTGGGCACATTTAATCTTGAGAAAAGAAGACCAGAGGGGGGAACCTGTTAAGTTTTAAAATAATGAAGTGGATAGTGATCAACTATTCTCCATGTCCTCTCTTCAATGGACAAGAATTAAATGGCTTAATCTGTAGCAAAGGAGATTTAGGTCAGATAGTAGGAAAACTTTCTACCTATAAGGATAATTAAGCTCTGGAACAAGCTTCCAGGGAAGAATGTGAAATTCCCATCACTTAGAGGGTTTAGGAATGGCTTGAACAAACTCCTCTCAGGGATAATCTTAGATTACTTGCTATGGCTTCAGCTAGGGGTGTTAAAATGTGCTTATTTGTCTAAAGGTGTATCTGCTGAAATTTTCTCTGTGGGAGGCAGCCGGGAGGGAGGAAGGTAGCTCCATGGAACTGGCACAACCAGAAATCCAGCTTAAAAGCCAGCTTCCCATGCATACTGGTGGGGAGATGTGGGGGTTGCGTGTAGTCATTAAGATTAACCGGTAAGCCCAGGCTTATCGATTAATCATGTAAATGATTACATGCTAACATCCTTAGCTTCAGCTCAGTGGACTGATCTTGATGACTTCTTGTGGTCCTGCCAGCCTGGTAGTTTCATGATTCTATGATTAAGTGACTTGCCCCAGGGCACAAAAGAAGTCTGTGATGGAAAAAGAAATTGAACATGAGATTTCCACTTCTCATGCTATTGCACCAGCCACTGAACAATCCTTCCTTCCCAATGTGCTGTGGCAGAGCTAGAGATTCTGAGAAGATCTCCTGAGTCCCCATTCAGTGCTTTTAACCAGACCATAATACATATAAACATGTCAGGTTATCCCCTTTTATTAAAATATATCACGTGTAGGCTTTGCCCTCTCTTACTAGATCTCTCCCTAGCTAATACTATTTCATATAATTATTTATCTGCGATAAAAGCTGCAGTCAAACTGTTACTCCATTTTGAGAGCTAGGTAATTTCTACAGGTCCTGTTCTATTTTACATATGTTGTGTTCTAATCCTGTTTTTTAAAGTAATATTTTCATAAACTGTTTTTCATTGTGATGGTTTAAATAGTTCTGTTAGGACAGTTACAGACCACACCAGTGTAAGACAATTATGTTGTCTTCATTATTTTGAGGATAGTAGAATATACCATCTTCTAGACCCCTGCTCTGTGTTTTTTGAGCCCGTCTGTAAAAATTCTAGGAGTTTGTTCTCCCAGCGATCTTCCTTTTATTTTCCTTGTCTTCAATTAACTTGTAAAGAATAAAATCATAAAAATGTTCTAGATTTTACTTGGTGCCACTTATTAAAAAAATATTTACAATGTTGAGTGTCAGCCTGTTCGCTTCCTTTACTACCAAAATGACGATCTTAAGTTAACAGGATAGTATTGAGGGGAATCTCTTTTAACATAGCATACATCTATCATATAATCTACTCTACTGTATAAAGTCATTTAACACAGCCAACACTTGGTTGGCTTTCTCTGTTTCTCTGCAGTCTTTTTGGAGCTGGGTAAATAAAATTCTGAAGAAGGTCTTTGAAAGGCCCAGTACTGCAGAAGGGATGTCTGTTTTTGAGCCAGCGCAGTGCAAAGATCCATTAAGTTTTAGCTGGTGGATTATTACTCATCTGGCATCACTCTACCAGTTTGACCGTAACGGAAATGTAGAGGAAAAGGTAGGTTTGTGTTTTCTAAATACTTTATTTAGACCTGTAATCCCATGCAGGTATTTGGTGCTGGAGTAGTGACCCAGTGTTCCTTCTGAATTTGTATGCCCATGTGCGGGGAATACATTTTGTTACATATACTAATATGGAGATGTGTGACTCATCGCCTCCATATTGGTGCACACAACAAAATTAATTCTGCACATAGACAATCAGTGGTGGGGGTGGGGCTGGGACCGAGGGGTTCAAAGTTTAGGAAGCAGCTCAGGGTTGGGATGAATGCTGTGGCTGAGAGTTAAGGCTCTGGGGCGGGGCTGTGAATGAGCAAATTGGGATTCAGAAAGGGACATAGGGCTGTGACAGGAAGTTGGAGTGAAGGCTGTGGCTGGGGATGATGGGTTTTGGGTATAAGCTCCCCTGGGAGAGAAGTCTCCTAGTAGTCCACTCTCACTGCTGCAGCTCCTGACCATTTGAGTGGTGCCTCTCTGCTGGCTGTGGCAGTTCTGGTGAGACTGGGTTGGGCTGGAGAGCGGGGTGCATCTCTTTTGGCTACAGCAAGTCCATGCTGCTGGGGACAGTGGGGCAGAGCTTTTGAGAGAGCACCTTTCCCCGAGCCACAGCTGCTCCCTACTGGGGCTGAAAGAGCACACCTCACCCCCCGGCCACCACAGCTCTTTGCTGGTGCTGGTGTGGTCACAGGATTGCACCTCTTCCCTGTTCATGGCAGCTCTCTGCTGGGCCAGCTCCATGGATAGGATACCCTCAGCCTCTGCGCAGGCGACTACGCAGGTTAAAGGAAACTTAGGTAGTGACTGAAAAATGATTCAGTGTTGTTACAACAATTTTTCATGTCTGCATTACAAAGTTCCTTTAAAGGTTCGTTATTTTAAAGTGTACTTGTGTACAGCCTTTTCCATGAGCCCTGTGCATATGGATCTAAAAAACATAGTTTCAGTCAGTAACCCAAGTAAGGACTCCGGGAAGTCCTGCGAATTAGCAGTTCAGATTCTTAATGCTGTAGCATATGTTTTAAGGCTATCTGCCTTCAGCGTAACTGCTTCATTGAGTTTACTGCTACAATAACTGAACGATTATTCTAATCATTAGAATAATATTAGAATGATTATTTGCATTGGATGTAGGTTTTCTGTCCTTCAAATGAGGTGTAAACCCGAAGCATTGAATGCACTCAGTCATTAATGCCACTTGTCATAAGAGTTAAGGATGTTAATGCTCTCACTGAATTCCAGTCTGGCTAATTACATTCTGCCTATATTCTTTTCCTTGCAGTTTAAATTGCATTTAATATACTTTTAAATGTCTTGTTCTAAACTGTTATGTAGTGTTGCTGTGTACTGTTAAATAAACTGTATACTAGTAAGGTTGTTTGACACTTTCCATTAGAAGATCCTGTTTTCAATATATGACTTTTTGCCAGATGTTACCCATTTGGACTGACATTTCCCATGCTAGGTGTTTGCTGTAGGATAAGTTTTTTGTGGAGGTTTTTTGTTTGTTTTGTTGTTTTGAAAAAAATCATGAAAACAGTTAAATCTATTTCTGAGCATGAGGCCAGGAAAAAATATATTATTTGAAAACACCATCAGTTTAGGATTAAACAAAGACTGTGAATGGCTAGCCAAGTATAAAAGAAGTTTCTCCTCTCTTGTTGTTCGCACCTCCACATCAGCTGCTAGAAGTGGGCCTCACCCTCCCTGACTGAATTAACCTCCTTATCTCTGGCCTGCATATTTATACGTGCCTCTGGAAATTTCCACTATATGCATCTGACGAAGTGGGTCTTTGCCCATGAGAGTTTATGCTCCAATATATCTGTTAGTCTATAAGGTGCCACAGGACTCCTTTTTGCTTTTCCTAAAAAATAAGAGGCTCAAGTAATAGCTGATGTTAGCTTGTTGAAGTCAATGCAGTTGTATCCAGAATGAATTGAGCTTACTTTGTTGGTTAACAGCTAGCTGCGATAGAGGACTTCATTATACATGTTCTTTCTCTTATTAAACTGTGATCAAAGTGGGGAGGGGAGATGATGTATAATAATGATGGTTATATGGTCCTTAGTGGAAATTGCTTCTAGTTCTGTGTCATCTGAGGAAGAGTTTCAGTTTTTAATATTAACTGTTTTGGCCTTGAGGTTAATATGAAACTTTTAGAAGTCTAAATAGGGTTCAGCTCTAGGTTTTTTTTTTTTTTCTTTAGCTCATAGAAGATAGTCATTTCTTACACGTAGATTTAAACAGGAAAATTGTGTTCAGTTCCTCTGTTGCCCATATAAGGAACTATCCATTCTCCATTTCCCAGAGTGAAAAGGGGTACGGAGTCCTTCTATTTTTTTTAATTTTCTCTAACCAAAACAGACCACACCACATTATTCTGAAAAGTACTGTTCATACATTTAAAAACTAAATAGGGTTTGGAGAGAAAAATCACCATTTTTGAACATTGCAGGGGTCAATTTTAACACTGCTGTGGGCTAGGAAAGTGTAGTCAGAATTACTTGGGGGAAGATATTTCCCTTTGAATTGCCTGAAATGAGTGCTGTATAAGATATGCAAAGAGTGACTCCCAGCAGAGAAGCTTAGCACAGTTATACATGGTGAGTTAGGAGAGGAGAGTGCCCTGATCCACACCTGAAAAAGTTGCTGCTGATGGAACCCCAAGGGTTGCAACTGAAATTTTGGCCTTAGCAGCTTGATGAATGCTCACATAATGGGCTTGGTAAACAGTTACTGGACTCCACCAGTCTCAGGATGAAATCTTTTTTGGTATGAGAGCTACTGGGTTTGGAATGAGGTGCGTAGAAGCATATTGGCTGGCAGGGATGGGTTGTAAACTGTTGTCTTGCCTTCACTGTCAAGATAAGAGGTATCCAATTATAGAGGGTATTTAGCTGGATTCAGATGAGACAAGTGCCCTTGGTGAGTAGAGAAAATTGAAATTGTAAGAGGGAATGAGCTGTGTGTGGTGTGTGGTTTTTTTTTTTGTTTTTTTTTTTTTATTTTATTTTTTATTACGCCACTCTCCCTCTGAGTTTGGACTCACTTAAAGAGAATAAGGCCTAGACATTGAATTCATTGGAAGTTTTTGTATTAGCTTCTAAAGAGGCCCTAAATTTCATCCTATATTTCTCCTGGAAAGGAGATTTTTCTGTTTCTGATTTTGGCTGTGAGAAATCCCTTCTCCCCAGCTGTTTTTTTTTTAACATTGGTTTTAAGAAGCCTTATATATTTATGGTGTGAACTTTGGCTAGACTGCGTTGCTTCTGATATATTGTTTGTGAATGTGGTCTAGACAGATATCTTGATGTTTACTAAAAGCTGGAATTTCCATATTTTGAGGAATTTTGAAAAAACATTAATTCTATTATGGAGCCAAGAGTGTAACGGAAGGAAAAATTTTTTTTTTTTTTTTTTTTGGCATAGCAATAATCAGAATGTATTATTCTGAAAATTGAGCAAGGAACCATAGAACTTGGCAGCTAATATATATAAAAATCAATTAAAAATAAATTGGAATGTTGTTTGAAATATTTTAAAACAAAAACCTATTAAAATATATTCACAAGTTACAGGCAGTCCCCGAGTTACGCGGATCCGACTTATGTCAGATCCGCAGTTACGAACAGGGCCGTCTCCCTGGTCTTCAGCAGACCAGGGAGAGGAAGCAAAGCGGCGGAGCACGCGGGCAGCGGACAGCCCAGACGCGTCTGGGCTGTCCGCTGCCCGTGTGCTCCTTGGCTTTGCTCTGCTTTGCTCCCCGTCTCCCTGGGAGCAAAGCGGGAGCAAAGCGGCTGTCCGCTGCCCACGTGTTCCACCACTTTGCTCCCCGTCCCCCTGGTCTGCAGACCAGGGAGACAGGGAGCAAAGCAGAGCAAAGCCGTGGAGCCCGCGGGCAGCAGGACAGCCACGGCCTGTCTGGGCTGGCCCGCTGCCCCCGTGCCCCGCGGCTT